AAGCTTTACCATCGTCAATACTGTAGACTTTCCTCTCCCGCTTAGGTCCAGATGAAGCAGGTGTAACGAATGCATCTCGGCTATCCCATGAACGTGCGAGAGGGCTGGACGGCCTTTCAATGCTAGTTTGAACTATTGGACGACTCCGACTGGGAAGGGCTGGAGGAACAAGGCTAGATGATCTCCTGTGCGCATTGTCTGCTTCCGTTAAAGTTGATCGCCGTGGCCTCGTGCTGTAAGGATTGTAGACAGTAGCGGCTCTTGAAGCACCGGATGCGGAGTTTACGAATGTCTGTGTTGATATCGGAACTACTCCGCTCCTCGGTGACGTATAGCCTTGGGGCGAGCGCGTGTCGTAGTAAGGATCATAAGTGGGAAACGTACCAGTTGAAGAGCGTTCAGGCACAGTTATGTGATGACGCCCTCTTGGAGAGGAGGGCCTGTAGTGGTTGCTCATCTTTGATTTCGACGCTTTCAACGAAGCATTCCTTTGCGAGTTTAATCGTCGTGCAACATGAAGTGGTAGCTGTAGTGGGGTTGTAAGGTTCTTAGGGCGAGACTTTGCGGACAAATGTTCTCGCGAAGGAAGAGGGGAGGTAGAACTAGAGGTACTACTCATGGTAGGAGTGATTGTCAGCATTTACCCTCGAGGAATCGTCTAGCACACTGTAGACTTCGAATCGCATAATTGACGGAGGAAGAGGGGGAAAGATATGCTCTCGGTCAAAGAACAGTAGTATTCTTACCTAACTGAGAGAGACCGGAGAGGCCAAGATACTCAACAGATCTGAATTGTTCTTGAACGTATGTTTCGTAACTGTTGTCGTCAGGCTCTGATGGGAGGTAAGGTCTTCCTTGTCTTGCTTGTCTTCTTCAGGATTTGGAGGAGAATCCTTGGTCTTGGAGTGTGTAGTTTGCCGACGGATTCCACTTCGCGTACGGTAGCTCACAAGGCGGGACTCGTTTACGTAGAAGCCCAAGTCGGCTTCGGCGGGGTGACGGTCCAAGGTCGTCTTGGTCCAAGAAGGCAAGGGACTCTCGTCTTCCGTCTTCACGAAAAACTTGGATGACGACGTTGAATATCTGCTGAGTCCAGGCTGCGAACAGAGCGAGGGCCGGGTGACCTATGACTCGAGTCTCGAGCCTTGGAAGTAACCTTTGCGGCCCAAATCCACGAGCGGGAAAGACCTGCAATGGAAGAGGATAACGTGAGAGAATGTGTTGTCCTCACAGGGACGATCCGCTTGAATTTGAGGCTGAAGAAGTGCTCAAAGGGAAAGAGTGAAGGTAGATTTGTGGTGTTTTTCGACAGTTGGGCACACACAACAAAAGTTTACCCTGACACTCGGACACTCTGCGGCAGGCTCCCATCCATCTTCCTCGTCATCCATTTGGGCTCAACATGCTCTTGCTAAACATTGGCTGGAATGCTCGGATCACCCGCATCCTGACATCCTCGACCTAATGCATACTGTAAGTTATGTTTAAAACCTTCTTAAATATACAGTAGATCCCAGGATCCATTGATGCCCTATTATCACTAAATCATATCTTCTTAAAGGGCACCACTATGGGTTTGCAATTGCTAGCTTTGTATTTCGTATATTTGTTCAAAGTAACAGGTACATTTCAAGTACGAGTACAAGGACTACGAGATAATAGAACAGTATAGACAACAAAGCGCGATCAACATAACAGACATTCTGAAGTACTCTTTCACGATAACCTCACTATCATTCAGAGATCTGATTGTCCATACTCCTTTCCGCAAATCCTGTACAATGGGATATTTCTCGTCTTCTACCCTTTGATCAACGTCCAATACGGGTCGTCAAGCTCTCCATTGATTCGCGTCAAGTCATCTTTTCAACTTGAGCATAATCCAAGGTTTATATCAGGGTACCGTTCAGGATCTTCTCCTTACTAGAGCGCATAATTGTCCGTCAAGGTGTAGTCCTTGCTTCGAATATGGAGTAGATACACGCTGAGCATACCGCATGTTATGTGTAGTACGCATGCATCATGTATGATCATCAAGCAAGATAAAGTTGGAAAAGAACAATCTCATCATCACTCTGCATTCAAGAGACGGACTAGATCCCATGCGTGTTGAAACTTCGGCCTATCAGCCGTGCGAAACCGTGCCTAATTGAATGTCAGACATGATGCAACTGGGAAGAACATAAATAAAATCAGACATATACTTGCAGGAATACGAAACAGCGAAGAGAAAGAGAAGCACATTGCCGAACTTCCTCATGTTGGTGACAGCTTACCTCCTAGGAGAGGACGAAGAGCCATCATTGATAGCGTGGGAACTATCGTAGTAACCAGGCCAATCACTTCATGAAATTCACTCTATCCCTTCAATCAGCTGATAAAGTTGCATCCATTACCGTGCAGATTGGCGATGCCCGCAACTCAATCTACTCTGCTGCGTGCTCATACTAGTACAAGCGCATGAGGTCCGGCATAGCATGCATCCCCTTACTCGTGCACGATGCCTGTGGCGAATGATCTTGTCTAATCACCACCGGCGTAGATCGGGGTAGGGCTTTGATGTACATGACAGCTCATACAGGTCGTATTCCCATCTTATGCGTCCGTCTTTCCGCCCCAAAGTGCTAATCCTGGGAATACTCTTAGGTTCAGTTAGAGACTCTCCGTTTGATATTAGGGAAATTTCTTTGCTTGCCGTAAGCTACGGTAAGCAAAATGAAAGCCATTTTTGCTCGTCAGACGATATGGTAGCTAAATCGTTTCTTGCAGGACTGGAGTCCTCTTCAGGCGCCTTATACGCCCGCTGGATCCCGAGATGTACTGTCAAGCCCCACAGTGTTCATGGATATCGAGAGTTGTATAGCGATGTTATTCGTCCGGCCAGTTTACTCCATATTGTTCTTACCCTCTGTATACTGCAACAGATGGAGACTCTATTAAGAGTCTTCGTAGTTGAAACGTCCGTATCACGATTAGAGTAGAGATACGTAACAATACAGTGTATTATCCAAGATGGAGGATGTGGTATCCGCCCTAGTCAGTACAACTCTCCCGTGCGTGCTTCATACTCTGCACGCTCGCCTAGCTACATGTCTCGAGAAGGCTAAGGGAAGTATGTCGCCGTTATTGATGCAGTCCAAGCTCCGACAATATGTCGCTTCAAGGCCCTACATGATGCCATCCTATAACTCAAATCTTGGGCTTCTGTCCTTATTCCACCCCAAGGATAATGAGGAGTGTATCATCTCCCGGCCACTTAGTTGAGTTGTTGTACCGTGGCTCTATCTTTCCGACGCCCATCTTGGTATTCACAAGATCCACAGACACAAATTGTCACACTGTCAGAAGTTTGCGCAGTCATAAATAGTCCGGATTATCTAGTAGTCTGTAGATTACAGTCGAAGAATGCCCAGGAGTGACCTTACAGTAAACTCGGAGGACATCGACGGTTGAATGGCATAGCTGGAGTCTGAGGATTGATAATACAGTATGTCATCGCCATGAATTCCTGCCAACGCACCGTAGGTTGTTAGTCGAGGCCTACATGTCAAATGGGCAAGCGACTTACTGGCGAGTACTAGGAAACATACGCGCTGGATAAATGAAATAAAATGATGCGCCTACTGTGAGACAAGAGATTGTTACGGACTAGGGAAGATGATGAGAACGCAATTCCACTTGTCTTCAGTGTGTCGTGGAAGATTGTGTGTCGAGAATTATTGCAATGCGAGGGTGCGAGAGTTCGCGATGGGTTGCTACGGTGATCAAGCGAGCCAGAGGTGGATAGTATCGGCCCTACGAGAGCCGGGGAAGGAAAAGGGGCGCGGAGGCGAAGGGATTCCAAACGACAGTCTGAAAACGTAACTCCATAAAAAGAGAATCTACTTAGCAGTAGTAACTCCGTTACGCCTGCCAAGTAACCTAAATATTAACCGAGCATCCAACTCCCGTCGGTTGAAAAGTTTCAGTATGAACGTTATTTGGTGTAGACCGCATTTCATCTTGGCCGTAGGGCTCTTGGTTCCTATATGCTTAATACCATAACGAGTATAAAATTTGCAGCATTATTGGTGGGAATATAAAATAGCAAGAAAGGAATACTGATTTTATGATTCAGTGAATGAGATCCAAATGATCAAACAGCTGTACAACGGTACTTATATACGAAGAGTAAAATGCGGTGGCCGGTGCAATACTACGCAAACGACACTGTTAAAACAAATGACCGAACGGCACAAATGACGCAACAGTTGTACAGGGACCCGAATATAGAAACTGGACGGTTATCACAACTTCGAATGTTATACGAGCAACTTTGTTGTATGAAATGAGAAGACATGGAAATATTGCGGGTGAAAGGACGCGTGACTTAACTGTACAGTTTGTTGATATCTCTCAGAATATCCGACCTCACAGTAAGCCAAGATGTACAGCGGTCGTACAGGAACCAAGGAGACCCGATGAGAACGAAGGATCTGATAGCGTTGACACTTATCATCAGCAAATGGAAAACTACTAATTACCTTACAAGAACTTTCAAACTCCTAGAGGAACAGGGGTAATCGTTGACCGTAATTTTCGGAGTAGTAGACCACGATTGAGCTGTGGAAAATATATTATAATCATTATGAAATGGGTATCAGAAATCGCCAAAAGACAGACTAGATATTTACTTTACGAGTTATAAGCCATAACTAGGAATTGACGGAAGAAGATAGAACAGATACGTATTAGTGAGAGAATTCACATGTATTAAGCATACAGGCGTCGGAGAACGGTCAAATGGATGAATTTATAGAGAAAGACCAACTAGATGGTAGATAATGAGCTTACTAACAGGATGAGTTTGCTGGCAAAAGCTTATAGAAGTTCGAAGATGAGGTCGGGTGGCAGGGGGGAGAGAAGGGCACGCACGGGCCCTTGTTGGGTCGTCTAATAAACCAGTTCTGGGTGGATACACTCTAATATATAGATTACATACTAATACGTATTTTCCATTGGCATCGTTGGTTTAGTGGTAAAATATTTGCCTTCCAAGCAAATGCCGTGGGTTCGATTCCCGCACGATGCATTCCTTTTTTTTTTCTTTTTTTTTTCTTTTTTTTTTCTTTTTTTTTTCTTTTTTTTTTCTTTTTTTTTTCTTCTCCCCATTCGTTCCTCTTAGATCCTTTTGTCCGCTTGTGAGTTCAAAACCTTTGCTTAGTTAGGGGTTGTCAACCTGTCTTTAGGGCGTAGATACCTGTGAAACCCCATTTACCTTATAGATGTTGAGTATTAGGGCCTTTTTCGTGTTACAAGAGAATGTAAAAAGAAAATATACAAGAATAGTTCCTAAACACTATTAAGGAGACTCTTATTATGTATCAAGTCAGTTATATGGTTAGTCTCTCTTAGAAGTTAATGTATTTGACCTTCATATTGTTCTTTTAGTTCCAGTTCTACACGAATCAACACCATCTCAGTAAGCCCTTTTCATCTACGTTTCCGGTCATAAAGTACGCTCATAGTCAAATAGCATAGTTCTACCATTCACCTAAACATATTTCTTATAGTCTAAAGGTTTCTGCGTCGGACATTTTCTGTTAGAATGGGTGGCGTACCTTACAGTTCTAGAACGATTGGATGATGAACTGCCGGATGTACTTTTGGGAACCGAAGATGACGCCAACATAACAAAACTCGGGGATCTCCCACCTTCGGAGCCAGGGAATACTCCACGTCGGGTGAAATTATAATACTAAAATGTTAAGACTGGTATAGTTGTTTTTTATTGTATATACTGCGTTCTGATCCATTGGGGTTTCGTTTCTTTTGTCCTAGTCACCCGACAGTATGGCTTCTTTCAGACGTCAAGTATTCTGTATTGCGAGGACAGCAATTGCCTCACCACGCCCGCTCTCGAAATTATCCGCCCAAAGTAGAGTGGTAGGTCTATCCTGGAACCAATGCGGTGTTAGGAGAAGACATGTCGATGCTGCTCCTCCACCGAGGAGTAAATTCCAAAGCACGCCCAAACCTAAGCGTGGCGGCTCGAAATTATTCAAATCCGCAGACGAAGCTGTCGCAGACATTGAGAGCGGATCCACTATCCTGAGTTCTGGGTTTGGGCTCTGTGGTGTGGCTGGTACTTCTCACCTCCAACTATTCATTGTAGAACCCAATTGGGTCATTGACACCTCACAGACACATTAATCCAAGCAATCGCCCGACGAGGCAAGGAAAACCTTCATTCTCTAACCGCGATATCGAACAATGCCGGCGTAGCTGGAAAGGGTGGACTCGCCACGCTAGCCGAGGCGGGCCAGCTTAACCGTCTGATCATGTCGTTTCTGGGGAGCAACAAGAGATTAGAGAAGGGGTATCTCTCGGGAGAAATCGCCATCGAGCTATGCCCCCAGGGAACTCTAGCGGAGCGTATAAGAGCAGGCGGCGCGGGGATTCCAGCCTTCTTTACCCCAACAGGAGCGCATACGTACATCCAAGACGGCAAGATCCCCGTTCGACTCGGTGAGGGGGGAAAGGTGCTCGAGTCCGGGACGAAGAGAGAGACACGCGAGTTCAACGGCAAGACTTACTTAATGGAAACCGCCATCACCGGAGACGTAGCGATATTGCGAGCACACAAGGTCGACGAGGCGGGAAATTGCCAATTCAGATACACCACACGCGCATTCGGGCAAATCATGGCCAAAGCCGCACGCCTCACCATCGTCGAAGCCGAAAACATCGTTCCCACCGGCTCCATCCCCCCGGACGACGTCGACCTCCCCGGCATCTACATCGACCGCATCGTCCCCTCGAGAGCTGAAAAGCAGATCGAAGTCCGCAAAACGCGCTCCGCGGACGGCGAAGACGCCCTCGACGCAACTTCCGACGCGGCGCTGGTCCGTAGGAACCGCATCGCGAAGCGCGCCGCGAAGGAGCTGAAACAGGGATACTACGTCAACCTGGGCGTCGGGATGCCGACTCTGGCCCCCGCCTTCCTGCCCGAAGACGTCAAGGTGTGGATCCAGTCCGAGAACGGGATCCTGGGCATGGGCGCGTATCCGCTCCCCGAGGAGATAGACCCGGATATCATCAACGCGGGAAAAGAGACCGTGACGCTCGTCGCGGGAGCATCGACTTTCGACTCCGCTGAGTCCTTTGGCATGATCAGGGGCGGACACGTTGACGTTTCCATCCTCGGTGCGCTGCAGGTTAGCGCGGCGGGCGATTTAGCTAACTATATGATCCCGGGTAAGGTGTTTAAGGGCATGGGTGGCGCTATGGATCTCGTCGGGAATCCGGATCAGACAAAGATTGTCGTCGCGACGGATCATGTGGCCAAGGATGGGAAACCGAAGATCGTGCAGGTTTGTGGGTTGCCGTTGACGGGGGCTAGGTGTGTCAGTACTATTATCACGGACTTGGTAAGTGATTTTTGATCTTGGGATATCGGATGGCGTACTGACGAATCTGTGTAGTGTGTCTTCGAAGTCGATCGGGAAAAGGGCGAGCTGACGTTGACAGAGTTGGCAGATGGTGTTACTGTCGAAGAGGTGGAGAAGAAGACGGATGCGAAGTTTCACGTGGCGAAAGATGTAAAATCGATGGAATAGATATATAGAACGTTGATGTATTTATCATGGCTGTGTCTGGCAACCGTCCTGTACATATTCGGAATTGCATGCATTGAACCATCTATCTATCTGCAGTATACTCTATATGTTCATTGTCTCTCCAAGACACCTCCCAGCTTTCTGTACGCGCTTCTAGCAAAATCGGTTCCGACTTGATCGTACAGACCGTGGAATTGTTGCTGAGGGTTAGGCTGACGGTATCCCAGAATTTATACAGCATCGGTACAGCGAATGAGAGTGCCGGCTTCGACCGAGAAGGGGACAAGACCACACACCCCTATATACAACCTCAACTCTTTAACCCGACATGACCATCTACAACTTCGACTCCCTCGCCCCAGCCGGCGCATACGTAGTCCCCCCAACAGCGTCCACGATCCTATCCACACTCTCCAACAACCACGCACCGCCCTCATCGCCCGCCAACCATCTGACCCCCTCCTCGGCTCCAGCCTCCTCATCCCCCTTCCAGCTCCCATCCTCCACCGCCTTCCGCAACCCATACACGTGACTCAGCACCTGGGGCCCCACCCCAGTCTGCGCCCTCAAACACGCCACAGCCACGATGGACGCCAGCACCCTCCCGACCTTAACTCCCGAGGGCCGGTCAGAGGGATCGGCCAGCAGCGCGCCGTAGTGTGAGTTCAAGATATGTACTGGGAGGTCGGGATGGGAGTCTGTCAGTCGTTCGACGAGCTTCGTCTCGAAGGGCGCGTATATCGAGTCCCAAAGCCCGCGCCCCCTCGAGGCAATATCCTCGACGTTCTGCGACGTGGGCGCGCGGGAGGGCTGAGCCGTGAGTGCGGAGGCGACGGACGGGGGGAGAGAGGCGCGGAAGGCGGCGAGCATGTTAATGGTGCGCGGGATGCCGTTGAAGGAGATGCATTTGAGGCCGACTTCGCGGATCAGTTCGGCGGTATGGGTGCGTTGGGGGTGGGACTGGGTTTCTGGGGCTGCGAGGACGAAGAGAGTGGAGAGGGAGGCGGGGGAGTTCAGAGTCATTGTTGCGGCGGTCTGGGAGGATGGTTAGAGGACGGTTGGAGGTTCGATTGGAGTGATAGGGACCGTACGGACATCGCAACCCAGGATGGCTGCCCGACATTTTTGGACGCGGCTTCCCGGGCGATGCGCTCGTATACTGCTCTGATGTTTGGCGGCGCAGGAGTGGGATTGGGACGAGCAGCCGGTGCGTTGATGAGCGCTTTGAGCGCAGGGGAGATCTTGGACATTGCAATTGGAGGTTTTGGTTGTCCTTCAGTCATCAGACGAAAGGAAAATCGATATAATTCTGGAGTAACATTTGGCCGGGATCGGCATTGTCATCCAGGTGTCATTGTCGGTCCTAGAAATGGAACCGTGAGGGATTCAGGGCCGAGGTTGATAGCGGTAGCTAAAAGTGCTTATTTTGAAGAGCAAAGCGGTCCCGTCCGCCACGAAGATACAAGCGATCTTGGTGGACTTGGCCTCGAAGATCTGTAGAAGCCTCAAATTGCTCTTCTTCTTAGTCTTCTAACCTGATCATGATCTGTTCCTTCAATTCAATTAACCAACATGGGCTTGGTATAACTCAAACTGGGTATGAGACGTCCGAGAACGACTGGACTCGGGACGATCCACAGCCCTGAGGATAAAGGTGAAGGCAAATCACTAGAACTATTCCGATATGCGGTAAAGGAGCGCACGTCATATTGTCTCATGTGAAGACAGCGTAGAACTTTTACTCCCTCGGTGCCCAGGTCTTCGGTGTTCAAGAGCATATCACGCATATATCGCTGGTTCCTAGAAGCTCTAATTCCCTAGCGAGAATGCTAAATGCTAAGTCTAAACAATCAACACAACACTCGATCGAAGTCGCGCAATGAAAGGAGGTTAGGAGCATCATAGTCGGATGCTTTCACCTGGTGAGCTCTCCTCTGTCATAGCTGTGCAGATCAGCTGAAGGCATGACGGTTCCCCGCATTTCTGTGCATCCACCTTCGACAACCATGGGATGTAATGGAACTATCACCGGCTTGTATTCTTCGCCTTGACCGCTAGAATGTTGATTATAAGAAAGTGTAGTCACTACACCCCTAGGGCCTGATAAGTATTTCGTTCTCATCCTTCGTCTACTCAACCCCAGAGTATATCTCGCTATGGAGGATATAAAGCATACAATAAGCGATGATGAGAAGGTTGAGAATGCTCACTCAGCGCCAGAGAGGACTGAAAGTAAATCGGTAGAGAAACAAAAGTTGACACGGCGTATCCTGCTAAATTTCGACACTAGGTAATCGTCCAGGGATAGAACCGTCAATATTTGGTTAACATATTCTGTTAGAATACTTCCAATTCTCGCCCTTCTCTTTCTCTGTTCATTCCTCGACCGGACAAATGTTGGTAACGCAAAGATCATCGGTCTAGAAGAAGATTTAAATATTTCTGATCATCAATACAACACCGGTTTAGCTGT